TCACTCACATTAAACCCTAGAAATTCAAAAAGTCAAACAATTCCCTCCAGGTTCCCCTACATTTACCAGGATTTTTGTGCCCTTAGTAGTAAATGCCGAGCCACACTAAACCCTATCAAACCCAAAATCTCCACACTCTCCCTTACTTTCCCGCAAACCAAACGGAAAACCACTTCCAACTAAAAACACTGAAATCCACACAAAAATTTACCCCCTCATTTCCCAGTCAAAGAGTCGAGTAACCGAAACAGAAAAATGTACACATAGAGGGAGAAAAACAAAAAGGGAAGCAGAGAAATAACCGAACCTCTTCTTTAGATCCGGTGCCGTAAAAGGCCGCGACGGTGGCGTCAAGCAAGGAGACATCAATCGGCTGACTCAAATCCCTAAGCCTCTCAGCCGCCATATCTTAAAAAATCCCCTCTCTCTCAGTTCCCCCCTCCCACAAAAAAAAAGGTAAAACCCAACACTATATCTTCCACAAGAGAAATGTTAATGAGCAAAAACCCTAGAAACTGTACCGACCAAACCCTAAGAGAGAGAAAGAGAGAAAAAAAAAACGTCTAAAAACCAAAACGAGAAGGAAAGGGAAACGAACCCAAAAAAGAATTAAAGGATCTTCTAGAAAGAGAGGTGAAGGAGGGTTTTTGGTTTTGTGGGAGTGACAAATCGGTTTAGAGAGAGAAACAATTTATATATATATATATATAAGTGAGAGACTGAGTAATTTTCTTTTATTTAAAAAAATAAAAACAAAAAGACAGCTTAAAATTGAAGCAGAAAGAAAGTGGGAGTGAGGCGGACGGAGTGACGAAGAGACTTTGAAACTCTTTTTATTTTTATTTTTAAATTTTCGCTTTTGGCCGCTTTTTGCTTAATTCTTTTTTTTAAGTTAATTTTGAGTGGGGAGGGACAGATTTTGGGGCCCTAGATTTTAGAAAAGCCAGAGTGAGGTGAAGTGGACGGAGTTTAACTGTGTTTTTTTCCTCTTCTTTTTTTCTTTTACTGGAATTTAATTTTGAGAAAAAATATTCACCACGATATTATTCTTGATTTTATGTAATTAAAAGGATAATGTATATTTATATAAATAGTTTTTGGTCAATACGAATTGTACCTTTTTCAATTCATTTAGTACTAATGCTTTTTAACTTTCTAGAGATAAAATACTGGTTTGATTTTATTTTTATTCAAAATTAAAATTTATTATTTGAAAATTTTTAACTATATATTTATCTTTTATAAAAAAACAACAATGCGCAGTTTATAAATTTTTTTATGAATGGAGTTAACAAATCTTACAAACCAAATAATATTTTAATCAAAACTATAAAAAAAATACAAATGTTGTAAATATTATGCATCTATATAAATATATGGACATATGTATAAATTCGTATAAAATTTTACCATAAATAATATTAAAATAAATATATAAACCTTAAAAAAGTTTAAATAAATTCTCATTAGTTTATTACTGTTAATGAAATTTTGTATCTTTTATTTTGAATTAAATTAAGTTTTATAATTAATAATTAAATAATTATTATTAATTAAAATATTATTTATTATTTTATATCTACGTAAAAAATGTCGTGTGACTATATTCATATAATAACTTAAGCCATCATTTATTATAACATGTCAACTTCATATAACAATTAATTATAAAAACTTATTTTTTAAAATAAAGTTACAAAAAATTGATTGAATATAATAAAGTAATAAAAACGTATTAAATTTCTTAAATAATTTAGAAATTTTTCTAAGTACTGTGCTTAAAATAAAAATAAGATTTTAAAAGCTTTCAATTATCAAATTTATGAGATTAAATCTAAAATTTAAAACATAAGCATTGAGGAATCATGGAATTAATAATTCAATTTCACTTGAAAATCTTTTTTTTAAATAATATTATGACACTCTAGATAATTTTAAAACACCTCAGTCAACCGAAAATTGGTAAAAAAAACCTATAAGGTTGGATTGTTTATTTCATAAAATAAAAATCTAAATTCCTCTTTACTTTTTTTTATTTATTTATTTTGTAAGAACTAAAATTTGAACTCACAATCTTCCTTTGAAAAGGCTCAATCCATTACGCAAAATATAAATCATTGTTAACTTCTAATATCTATATATATATATGTATACTATAAATGAAATATTATACAACTTGGTAAAACCACTAATTAAATCCACTAAACTCATACTTGATCCATCAAACAGGTCATTGCTCCATCAAGTTCTAAATCATAGTCTAGAAAACAATGAAAATAAAGAAGAAATCTCCAACAATTAGATTTCAACATACAGTAACTTTGAAAATTTTAAAATCAATTGTTTTCAACTTGATAATCAAGTGAAATTAAATAAGATAATCAGAACAAACCAATCACAATAAAAATTAAATAGTATATGTTTAATTAACATTGTTCATCGAACCAACAAAATGTCACCTAAATGCTATTTTTAATAAATAATTGTATTTTTGAATTTATATCCTATCCATAAATCAAATCTTATAAAGGTTTAGGTTATGTACTCAAATGACACATCTTATTAGACAGCAGTTCCACATGTAAGAAAATATCTCCATCAGACAGTCGCTTAAAATGCATGTATTGCTACAACTATCTTTTTCATGTTTTTTTTTTATCTCATTTGCTAAAATATATCAAAAGCTCTTATTTTTATTATAATTTTTAATAAATTATTTTTCATTTAATTAAATTATTATTTGATGGAGTTTAATCATGTGATGTATGTAACTATAGCCTTCTCTTAATTCTTTGGACGATAGGAACTTTTTGGTTAAATTATTAAAAAAGTTTTTTTTGTAACTTTGCAAAATTTTTTGTTAAATCTTTTTTTATTTCACCCAATTAAAATTTTTAAAATAATATTTTTGTTTAATTGTAGTGTTATTTAGATGAAAATAATTAAGATTCATGACTTGTGTCATATTAATATTTAAGCGACTTTAACTTTGTTACATCCATATTTACATGACTCATAACTAATAAAAAAGAATTTTATAAAAATGCATATGTAAACCTTAATTTAATATTAATTTTCATACGCTATCGTATAAATATTGTTATAAACTAAAGATGTTAACGAGTAAGTATTCATTATTTTTTATATACCTTTAACCTGAATCTTATTTAATTATAAGATATCTGAAACTTATAATTATTTGAATAAAATTTAAACATATTCAAAAATGAATTTGGTTAAATTAACAAAATTTTTTGTTGTTCAAGTGGATAGTTTAATCCCTTTTAAAAGCATATAATATATTTTATAAATATTTATTTATAAACGGGTGTTGATTTAACATGATAGATGAATTTTTTGTAAAATTTATGCAAAATAAGAGTTTTAATAAATAAAAATAATATTTTATCAATTTAATTAACTATAATAATAAAAAAATATTTAAAAAATGTGATAAATGTTTTTCATTTTAAAAATTTTAACCAATTTCCACGAGGCAAAAATATTTTTCCTTTTCTTTTTCTCTGTCCCTCCTCTTTCTTTTTTCCCTTTAATCCTCTTTCCTTTCTCGCCGGCAATCCTTCGCTTAACGTTGCTGGAAAATGAAATCGACGATTTGAAGCAACAAATTTAGTATCCGACGCTAGGTCGCCGACAATAGATAACACCACGCAGCGTGGAAAAAGAAGGAAAAAATTAATTTTTTATTTTTTATTTAAAAATAATGAGAATTTTATTTCTTTTCGATATATGATCTTTTGTCACATGAATGCACCACCGGACACACCAAGTATTATAAAAATTTAATTTTGTTTGTAGTAAAGACAACAAAGACAACCTAACTTTCCGCCAAATAAGGTTTCAATTATGCGAAAAATACTTGATTTGATTCTAATAAAATGAAAAATGCTTAATTAGATTTTTTAAGGGTTAGAGCGGCTTTTGATGTATTTTAATTTATTATTTTTATCATTTGAATTATACACTTCTCTTAATAATTTTATATTACAATATGATCCAAATGAATATCAAATTTATCATTACAATATAATTTAATAATATGTTTCAATTACATTTAATTTTATTTTCATGTGATATTTATTACAATATGAGATCTACTTAACAATCGAATATGATTAAACTCATCATAATAACTATTAATTATTATAATTAATATAAAAAATTATTCATAATTAATGTTGTAGTCATTTAACTTGTTTATGCAACATGTATTATAATTTTTATAAATTATTAATATTTGATAAATTAATAATCTCGATTAAATAATATTTTTGATCTGTATCGACTTGAGATCAGTGTGATCAATTAATAATTTATTAAATTTATAAAATAATAAATTTTATAAAAATTTATAAATCTCACTTAATATATAAATTAATAATTTTTTATATATTAAAATTATATATATATATATATACATACTCAATTAAAATGATTTATAAAATATGACTTCAATATTACTTATTTTCTCTTAAAATTGATATCTCCTTTCACCTTATCTAACTTTTCTTAATGTATTAAAATTTAAGTAGTTCTAATATAATAGGTTTATATTTAAGAGAAAATTATGTAATATAATTATTGATTTAAGCGTATTTTTATGAGAGACATGCTCTAATATAAAATTATCATTTTAATTGACGTATAAATTAATAAATTATTAATTTATTAACTAAATAATATTTAAATTAATTAATAAATTGTCATGATCTAACGATATTAATATATAGAATTTAACTATATCATGCAAATAGAGAATGAAAGAAAAGTTTGAGAAATAATATAGAAATAAATTTAAATTTTAATCCAATACAATCTTCAATAAACACTTTAAAAAAATTAATTACCAATTTTTAAATTTTAAATAATTAAATTACTAAACAAATGTTAAGCAAACAAAACTATAACCTACTCTTCCTTTGATAGGACAGGCAAAGTCAACGTTAAGGAGATGTTGTCAACCTTAATAAGTGTCCGTTCAAGGCGAAATCACCATCCGAGAGAAAGAGAAGGAAACAAAAGGAAAAGCAAAACACGAACCGCAAAAGTTTGAGAGACAAAGCAAAATAGCAATCATGAACATATTCAGGTTAGCAGGGGACATGACGCATCTACTCAGCATTGTGGTCCTTCTCCTCAAGATCCGTACCATGAAATCTTGTGCTGGTATATTCTTTTTGTTTCTACTGCTACTGTGTTTTTATGTTTTTAGCTTCCATTTTTTCTTTGAAGAAAAGAAATTTTGGATACCCAATATTGTTAATTTAATGATGGTTTCTGGCTGACACTGATAAGAAGATGGGGTTTTCCATGTTTGGAACATTTTTGCGAATACCCTTTTGCTTGTGTTTTGTAGATACCAATTGTTTGGTTTTTCTTTTCCTCTTCAGTTTTGAAAGATTGCTTTGATTTTTTTGTAGTTTTATACAGGTACTTTGCGTGAAAATTTCAGAAGCTTTTCAGGCAATCCTTTTGTTCTTTCTTTATTTTGTTTTGGTTATTGTCTGTGTTGACTTCTGTTTACCATCGGCTGACTTTTTAGCTCTTTGTTTGATTTGCTATGTTTGGTGCTTATTTTGGTTTGCTGGTTAAAATCTAGTCTTGTTAGAAGAATATATGCGATTGTTTCTTTATTGGTACATTTGCTTGGTTAGATCATAGTTGGTCCTCTGGTTTTTTATATTTCTTGTAATGATTGATGGAAGAGCTATTTGGTTGTTGTTTTTAACATTGTCTGCTCATCAACGTTGTTTTTATGCATTGGACTCATAGTAATAAGTCAAGTTTTCAGGAATTTGTCTTTAATCTTTGGTGGTGCAGCAGGTGACAAAAATTAAGCCTTTCTTTTGTTTTTCTCAATGCCTATTCTATATTATCATCATTGCAAAAACTATGGGAATGAAGCAATTCTCAGAAAATGGATTGTAACCTGTGAGTTTATTCCAAACTCTGTTTTATAGAGATTTTCTTTCAAGAGCACTGAAGTCAAGACTATTTGTCAATTCCAGGCACTCTTTTACTAGAAGATAATGATTTTAATAATCAAAAATTGAAAGAGAACAGTTTCAAAAATTTTTGTTGTTTAATGCAATGAAGTTATTTCTCTGATTTTATCTCTTTACAGCACTCAATGGAAGAGCAAAACAATTTTTTGTTTTGAAATTTTCAAAGCTTGAGCACCGACAATGCCTGTTCTTTCCCTGAACTTAGAACTTCCATGTTATTTCACTCTTCTTGTTTAACTTGTTCAATTTCCTTCTTTATTTATTGGTTGGAATTTCTAATTTTAGAACTCATAATTCATGCCTTATACATGAAAAATTTCTACATTCTCATTTTGGATTAGAATTTGAGTATGTAGTGGTTGTCAAAGAATGAAAATTTTGATCACCTGATAATGGACTCATTTTCCCAAAACATTTAAAATGCATTTTCCAGAAAATACTAAATTTACTTCATTATATGCCTCAATCTTATACCTCCCTCATCTATTTAACTGACTTTCCAAATTCTGCTGAAAGCAAGGATGGAGACTGCTATTTCTGGAATGGCAGGACTGGTAAAAGAAGTATCTGAAATCCTTGATATTTTCCTTTGTTCTGGTTTGGAATTTGCTTATCTCTTGAATATGAAAACGAAATTGTTTGGTTTGGTATTCAAGAAGGTAAAATAAAGTCTTTCTTGCAGCTATTTTTTCTAGTGATTGGTTTGAAACTTTTTCCCCTGTATAAAACCTATGAAAATTTATTTTCATAAAACTATTGGTAGTTCTATAGGGTTCTTGGTAGGAAGTTTTTAAATTTTGTAGATGAATGTTTGGAACCGTGGATGAAATACCCAATTTCCAAGGCCTTAATACTCAATCTCTGCTCTTCGTTCTTTGTGTTTTCAGAGTCATTGTCATTTCTTCAGCCTCCATGCTTGTTTTCTTGGAGGCATATTGCTAATTGGACTAAGGAAAATTGTCTTTCTTGGAAAGCTTGAGCTGTGCACAGAAATACGCATACTCACACCAATCTTAAAATTCTCTTTGTTATGTGTCTTTTGCTTGAAAAATTTCCATAGGCTTCATGTCTATTATATTTAATAAACTAGTACCCCAGAAATGGAGCTTTGGTTGAATTTTGGCTGGAAATACTTGGAAATCTGTTTGACTAATTTGCTTGCTTTAAGATCCTGGATGATGATAGGCTGTATCAATCTTAACTCTTTGAGAGTCTTCTTTTCAAAATGCAAATTAAAATTACAAAAATGATGCAATTTTATCTGGAAGACATGTTTGGATGCTAGATAAATCAGTTCAAAAGAATCCACAAGAATGCAGAGCATATAGATCTGAATAATATTTACATTATTTTTTTCAGTGAATACTTTTCCTTCTATTAAGTCTGAAGCCTAAAATAATTTTTATTTTCAGGAATTTCGCTTAAGACTCAGGAATTGTATGTTATAGTCTTTCTTACTCGGTACCTTGATTTGGTCACAAGGTATATATCTTTCTACAACACTGTAATGAAGTTAGTTTTCATTGGAACTTCAATTTGCATTGTTTGGTACATGCGCTACCATAAAGTTGTGAAGCAGACCTACAACAAGGATCAGGATACTTTTAGACATTACTTTCTGATCCCCCCATGTTTTCTGCTGGCCCTTCTGATTCACCGTGCTTTTAATGTAATGGAGGTAAGAAATTGTCTTCTCTTGTCTTGTGAATGTTTACTGTTGACCTTCTTTTCTTGTTTGGTAAAATATTTACTTAAGGCCCTGAATTATTTCTTGCACATGAATGTTAGTTAAGGCATTACAGCAAAATGTTGTTGAAAGGAATAGTTGTGTTGAGCTCCATGATATTCAATAAGAATGTGGTTCCCTGAGGCCTTCCTCTCTAATGACATGCAGTTAGACAAAGATGTATTCTGAATAGGATAGCATTTCAAGGTAGACCTCCATGCACTGCAGATAGTGCTGGCTAATGTGAAACCATTAAAGTTGGATCAAAAATCCCTTGGCCCTATTTGCATTGGGATGGAGAAGAAACCAGAGGACGGCTTAAATTTAAGAGACATGATCTTTGCCCTTGAAGGGACATAAGACTCATTTACCAGAAATGGCTCTTATGCCCTTATCAATTATTTTGTTTAAATTTGTTGCTCTGCTTGAAAAAAAAGAACTAGTTTTGTAACCTGGATGTGTTTTCTAATTGGAATTTGACTTCTTGTAATAGGTGTTGTGGACATTCTCCCTCTATCTCGAAGCACTGGCAATTTTACCACAATTGGTATTACTGCAAAGATCAAGGAACATTGATAACTTAACTGGAAACTACATTTTCTTTCTTGGGTATATTTTGTTATCTTATTAATGCTGCATTACTTGCTGTTATTATATTAAATATTCTTTCTTGCTTTGTTTTGGTTGCTATTCTACGATCATTTAGTGTCCCCCTCCCCTTCCTCTTCCTATACGGAATATGTTCTGTTAAGTGAGTGTGGTGCCTCTCTAGCTGTGATTTGTGTTTGTGTATGTTTTTGCCTGTGCAAGAGGAGACACGTAAATTTTTGACCCCTTCCCATACAGATATGTTTGCATGTGCATTAAGTGGTTTTTTCCCCACTTCCCAAACAAACGATCATCTGTTAACTGAGTATGGAGCCGTTGCTTGTTGTTCTAAGTTTTAGTTGGCCTGACTAGAATGAATTATTCTAACGCAAGGAAGGAAATTCTTGGGGAATGTATTATTCTATATAATGGGGTCATTTAAGTTTACAGCTCTATTATCTAATAGTGGTGTTGCTGGCCGTTCAGAGGTCTGTGTGATAAATTATTAGGTTAGTGGCCCCTCTAAGTGGGTTTGAATTGAGCATGATGCAACCAAACTTGAAGAAGTGTCTTGTTCTTGTTGTGAGATTGTGAAGATTTCGTGGGAGGCTTGCTGTCTGCTGTCCCTTGTCATGCAAAGCCAAAATCAATGATTGATGTTATTCCAATCTTATCTGTGTATTTTCTCTTTAAAATTGTGGTCGAGGTTACTTGATTTTGGATAGTTTCGGAGGATGCTCTGAGGAAAAGAGTGGGTACAATAAAATTTGAAGGATGCATGGGTGTGGTAGAAACAGAGGAGTCAAAGTTTGCTGGCAAAGAAATGTAAAATTTGTGTGGACCGTACTCAGTTAATTGATGCTAGCATGATAGGATGGAGGTGAACTGGTATGGTATAGGACAGGCTAGGTTCAATATAGGTTTGTAACAGTTGTTAGTGGACTTCTCAAAGTTGAGCACAGGGCAGAATTTTTGGGATAGTTTAGTTCATTGGAGAAATTGATGCAAATGCCATTCAGACACAATACTAGAGGGGCCTCTAATTAGTTTACTGTTTGTGGCCCTGTCTGTTTCTTGTCTTCTGCAGGTCTCCTGGGAATTATAGTTCAAACTTGCATTCTGTCTTCATGATAAGGTTTTGAACGGAAAAACTGGAATGGTATGGTTTTACAAGGGATAAAGAATTTGCCTAGACATGCTTTGTGCAAAGCAAGATTTTTGTAGAATGTGCCTTGCTTGTTCAAATCAGATTATTTCGTTAACTTGAGCCTAGTCTCAGACCAAAACCTGACCCAAATTGCAGGATAGAACAATATGTTGAAATCGAACCTATGCTGTTCATGAAAATGCTTTGATAGATTCTTTACTATTCAAGTCAGCTATTGTGATTTTTATAATTTCTTATTGAAGAAAGAAGAACACTAGGTTAGTTGAGTTCATTAGGTGACGTTCATGTGATATGGTTTTGTCATGTTAAGATGTAGTCGAAACTGCTCGCTAGTTAGTGGATTGCAGCTTGCTTTGCTCGTGCACTTACGTTTATCCATCCATAATTTGAATTTTATGTTGTGCATGACATACCAATTTTTTTAACAAAGATATGTTGGATTGATAGTTATATTTTCATTTTTCCTTTCATATGTGAATGTATTTTCAGTTGTGGTCAAATTATATTTCAGTTTCTAATTATTTGGTTTTCTTCGGTCATGCATTTGGTTTATCGATTTTGTGATAATTTTGTTTAATGTCCTATGTAGTGCTTATCGAGCTTTATATCTCATCAATTGGATTTACCGTTTCTTCATGGAGAATTTCAAGTTCTACTGGATACGTAAGTTTCTCTAGCCTCCTATTTGCATTTTCTCTTGCAAGGTAGCAATGTTAACTAGAATTTCTGTCAAATGCCAAGAACAGCTTGGATTTCAGGCTTGGTCCAGACTGCTCTTTATGCTGACTTCTTTTACTACTATATCAAGAGGTATGAATGCATTGTTCTTGCTCACATTATCTTAAGGCCTTGCTTGTTTTGTAAATGTTGTGACCTTGGTTGATTTCTTAAACACATTAAACACGATATCAACAAAGAATTATCATTTGGTCTTGAACCCTAATTTTCCCGTAACTGTTTATGCCGGAAGATGCTTTTCATGGGAAACAAAGCGTTTTAAAACGATTTATGATTCAGTACTGACAAGTTTGTGTTTCTTTGTTTCAGCTGGAAGAACAAAGAGAAGCTAACGCTCCCTGTTTGAGTTAAAGCTTTACCTGATGTAGGATCACGTTAACAGAGGAACTGAGACTAACGGAATGGTGGGGGTGTTAAGTGTTCCATAGATTTATTATTTCATCCACAAATGGCAGAAGAAGGCTAGTCTATTCTAATACTTTCTTGCTTCAACATGCTGTTAGCCTTACTGAACTGTCTTATGAAAAAGAAACAACGTTTACACGCTAAAATGTGGCAACATTTGTTATGCTTATCTAGTTTTCCAATTATTATTTCATATGGGTTCGAATTTAAGATCCTTGTATCAAGGCAGACGGCCATAGCAATGCATCAGCATGCGATTGGTAGTTTCAAGGTCTTTCTAAACATATAAACGGCACAAAATTAGACAATCTAGAAGAAGACCAACAGAAACCTGTAAAAGAAACTATCCGAATGTAAACCATTAGGGAACAGATGTGGTTGTCTCAATGCAAAGCCTCCATTGACAACACAGCCATGGACATTGCAAGAAACATGATCACGGGTTCTTCCTAAAAATTAGTGAACAGTGAAAACAGTGATGGCGAAAACAGAATTTCCACATGACCTCTCCCCACAATTGCTCATTCAAGCTATAGGAATGACTTGGATAACAGCAGTCAAAATGTTCAAAGCTTAATTTCCATCTGCTGCGTCTGTTCTAAGTCTGCAAGTAAGCAAAAGTATTATTCTACTCATACATAATGAGTGGAATCCGAAAACTCCAAACGTGAAAATGCACATTATGAAACAAATTTGATATCTATTTGCTTACCCCGAAACTTTATGGAATAAAATAAATAAACATAGAAAGTAAAATAAATCATTTGTACCATTCGTTATCTTAAATAAAGCCAAAAGCAATCTTAAAATTCAACTTCTACGTCCTGTTAGCTAGTCTTTTGTTTCAAAATCCATAGAATTGAAATTCACAATAATATAGAGGTGAACATATGGTTGAATCTTTACCTTAACTATGTCAAACTCTCTTTAATTACTTTTCTATCCATTATTTTTCAATATTTCTAATCATCATTCATATTTATGGGATTCACAATTCATGAGTGAATCTTGTACATGCGGTAATAATGAATGTATTGGAAACTAATGGAAGGATATCTACCTGGGAGAAGCATCTAATCCTCTATCTCATCATGTTCTTTGTCTATGATTCTGCATAGCGCATATCTCTCTATCTGAAACAAGTTTAATCAGTATGCAACATCAGGAAAATCAGATTACAAAACCTTTTTTTTGTTTATGCATGATATTCAAATATAGGGCCTAGTTTAAAATATGCAGTTTAGAACTTGTTATCTTGCTCCTAATATCGAGTTCGTTATCCAGAACCAAACTTGGATAAACACTAAATTCATGCATCACCCAGGAGCTTTCTTTTGCCGTTGGAGCCTCTCCCCAGTAGAAAACAAATATTCTTTTGAATCCAACAATTTCATTGTGATGATCAATCTGCTCAGTTTCACCTGTAGCGTTCCAATAACCACTCTTTGCACTTCCTTCCATTTGTTCAGCAGTGCTGTATGCTTGTGGTACTACGGTGAAGAAGTATGCTTCATTGGCCTTCCCATGCTTGAATTTACCTACAAAATCCAACGCAATTTATGACATCACCAATTAAAAAGTTTATATCATGCAAAAGCAAAGAGTAATGCAAAACAATCCGACACTCTAGAGTTGGAAGTGAGTCCCCTCAGATACAATACGAAATCATCTTTTGAAGTTTGATAAAAGTTACATGCTATGTCATTGTGTCTGGTCGAATTCAGATTGTTTAGCATTTTCCAACGGCAAGACCGGAAGGGAACTAAATTGCCATGAAAGTCCAGAGATAAAAGCTCACCCATTGGAAGTTGAGGACGATCATATATAGTCATAAAAATCAAATCTCATTGATAATATCAGCAGGAAGCTTATAACCAATGGTTTTGTTCATCAATTAATACATAATGAACTGATCATCAGAAGGAAAAACCTAAAGCCAGGTGCTAAACCCCACTTAACTTCTAGGTAAAGCCTCTCCATCTCTGAAGGAGAAGAAGGAAAAACAGATTCTAAAATCCTTTTCACTTCCTCTTCCTTGGAACTACGTTAGAACCAAAAGATGCCATTCAACAACCTAGAAACTTTCTATTTGGGATTCGAAAATTCTGGTTCTTATTTACTTAAAGATTGTAACATAGATTATATAAGATTAAAAATTTTATTGCAGAACCTAAGTTGTAACGGGATACTTGCTTTGCATGTAAAATCCTTGTTTAGAAGAACACTAGGACCAGGACTAGGACTATGGTTGAGCAAAAGGTTTGGAAACATTGGATAAAGATACATAGGCTTGAACATGGATTGGTCGAAAGAGATTTAAAATGGATTGCGCTTGCCACAAATTTAAAAGATATTTAAAATGGTTCTTGATTTTTACGATTTTTCCATGAGGTAAAATTCGATGGTTCAACTTTAATCTTTTTCTTTCAAAGTCTCATCTTCAAATTTTCAGGATTGGAAGGAGATTATCAAAATTAATTTAATTGAATGTTTATTTCCGATCACGGAAATTAAGAAAAACTATGCTTAATACTAAAAACTAAACAGTAAAAAGATTTATTGAAATCAAAATGAAATATAGAAATCGAGTAAGAGTGATTGAGTATTTGAAATACTCTTAATTGTATTAATTTATGGTTAAAGTATATAGGAAGTCCATATATTATATTGTTTGGTTTTATTTAATTTTTTTTATCTAAAATATCATTAATGTAATACTTGTACTTTGAATATTATGTGCAATTAAATCTTAATGAGTAATTTTATCTAAATTGACTATTAGAGATACTGACATGACACCAACATGTTATATGTAAAAAAAGGACCGCATGAGTTTTATTTTTCTTTTTTTCTTTTGTCCAAAACTATGTCATTTTGGTTTGATTATTTAAAGAACATTTAGTTTTTTTTTTTTGTTCTTTTTCCTCTCTCATTCTCTCTCTAGCTCTCCTCTCTTTCTCTACCTTACCCCATGACCGGCCCCCTCATACCCAGATTTTGGCTCTACAGCCAAAAGTCAGTTTTCGATGGTAAAAAATTATAGTTAAAAAAAAAAAACAGTAAACTCTTTTTTTTTCTTTTTTTTAATCAACATATTTTTTAAAAAAGTTATCCTGATTTTTCTAAATTTAAAAATGAAAATCCAGTTCCATATTAGTTAAGAAATCTCAAATTAAAGAAAAGAATTTTGTGGTGGTTTTTTTTTTAAAAAAAATTTCAACCATCGAAAATTCATGATTACGGCAATATTTGACAATGGCAGGAATACTGGCTTGGGGGACCGAGGGAGATAAGGATAGGGCAAAGAGGGAAGGAGAGAAGGAAAGATGAAAAAAAAATTAATTGGGTTTTAAATAACTCTACTAAAATGACGTAGTTTTGGGTTAACGTAGAAGAAAAAAAAAATTCACGTGGTCAATTTCTTTTTTAACAATTTTTTTTTATATTTAACATGTTAGTACCACATTAGTATCATTTGACATGTTAGTGTTTTTAATAATCAATTTAGACAGAGTTACTCACAAGGATTCAAAAAAAAATCAACCCATGAGTTCTTTTATTGTAAAATAAGTGAAAACAGTAAGAAGAAGCCTGAGGCATGGTATCACTATCTTTAAGAATAATTTTTACTCTTTCGAAATATGAAACTCGGTGTAAAAAGACTGTAATGGTTATCCTGCGGGATTTAACAAACCATTCAAATTATTAAGGGATGACAAGAACAATAGAAATATAAAAAAACCTAGCTATTGAAGAAATGAGGCAAAAAAGATAAGCAAAGAAAGCTTAGAAGATGAAAGGCTTAGATATGTGTTGAAAGTCAAAGTGCGTGGCTGTTTTTATAAGTATAGAGTGAAGAGAACGTTGCATCAAATAAGGCGAACATTCAACCAAATTAGGGAGTTGAGAAAAAGACTCAAGGAGTTAGAGAAAAACCTGATCAATAAACGTTGGAGCAAAATCAACTAAGCTAGGTAGAGTTTGAGTATGATTCAATCAAAGCTAAATAAATGTCGGAGCAAAACCAGGTAAGCTAGGTAGAGTTTGACTATGTAAAGTTTGAGTATGATTCAATTAAGGCTGAAAACTGAAAATTTTAATCAAGGTTGAATAAACGTTGGAGCAAAACCAAGTAAGCCAAGAGCTAAATAGAGTTTGAGTATGATTCAATGAAGGCTGAAAACAATCAAGGCTGAACTCCAGGTAAGCTAGGTAGAGTTTGAGTATGTAAAGTTTGAGTATGATTCAATCAAAGCTGAAAACAATCAAAGCTGAAAACAATCAAGGCTGAAAACTGAAAACTTTAAAAAAAAAAATAATGCCAAGGTATAAAAATTCACTTGGGTATAGCCCACATGTATATTCGCGCGTGGGTGAAATTTGAAAATTTTCAAGGTCTAACCTAATTTTGTGCACGCACAAACTCACTTAGTTTTTTTTACTTGCAATAGGCTTATAGTGTGTTTTCATATATAAGACATTTACTTTTCATGTATCTTGACAATATGAGATATTTGAACCTTATGAAATACATTATTTTGCAACATTATTTTTCTGCAGCACAAAAACCCACCATCCCTTTTGTCACAATTGCATCATGCATGCCGGCTTTCCCACGCTGCCCCAATACCAATCTCCTTCTTGACAGGATCAACTTCCATAGGAAGGAGATTTGGATAACATTAAAACATTGCTTCAAAGAAATATGGTCCCCCTTCATTTAATATATGTATGGATAGATTGATGTAAAGTAGTTCTCTCTCACCAGGGGGATTGTTAATAATTAGTAAAGGCAATCCATGCCGAAATATAACTTCTCTTCGATCACGTTTGGCTTGGTTGGGTCATAGAGGCGAGTTCTTTTGGACTGTATTATGCATGCAGATGTACTCGAAAACTAATTAATACAAAAAATGAGAATTGTCTATCCAAAATTAGAAAATATTTCTTAGAACAAAAACACACCCCTTGGTTTCTTTGGAGAGCAATATGCAAGATACATGGTAGTTGTGCAATATATGCCTTTCTCCTTTTGCCTTTCAAAGCTTAGGTCAGGCGAAGAATATTGCATATATAGGCTAAAGAATTAATATCTACCATTTTATGCATGTATATGTTCAACGGCCAAAGGCATAAACAAACATATACGTGAAACATAGAGTTAATAAGATGATTTAGTGACAAACTAGAACTCTATCTGTCCCATGATGTGTATGATAAACGTGCTCTGTGCTGATATTTTTTAGATATTCTGGACATCTAAACAACTATATGTAATCAAAATATGACTAAGTATGGCTACCTACACGGCTTGTCTTGTGCTGATCTTTCTTCTACCTTTTTTATAACCAAAACAATACGAAAACTGCATTGAATTATGTACCCTACTTGGTCTTATATGACTAACAATATTAGAAAAAAAGTTCCATGTGATGATAATTTAAGAAAAAAAAAAATAGTATAGAATTCCAAACGGAGGAAAAAGGGATATATATATATATATATATATATAAACATCAAGAAGCAGTAGGATTCAAATGAAACATATATAAGCTGCCAAACTAGGCGTACAAATTTAATATGCATTTAATTTGGTCGCTCCCCTCGTGGTGTCTCCTTTTGTGGTCTGTTTTGGTCCAACTTTTGCAGCAGTGATATCCATTCTGTCAGAGGAATACACACTTTGTCAATGACAAAATGTGAAACTCAATTACGAGAAGATCGCCATCAATCAAGTTGTAGAATTTTGAGTCACCTGCTAATTAATTTATTATGACTGGAATTCTTCAAAGTTGAAAGAGGAAAGGGTACTTCACTTCTTTCACAGTGACGAGTAAAGTTATCAAGTAGGGACGGATTTTATTCTCTTCTTTTGATGTAGTCATATGTTAAAACATTTTGTCAATTGACATACCGTGATGGCATTGCCATTGCTGTTGATTAATTCTAATTTTTTTTTTTACTTCTTTTTTCTTAATAGATAAGAAAACCATGTAAGCTTAATTAGTCATTAGAACTAAATATTTTTTATTGAAAGTCCATTAGTACTAAATATTAAAATAGCAAAAAGTGATTGATTTATTTCTTATGAGAAATAAAAGTGATTAATGTTTTGTATGATAGTTTGATTGACCATAACATATTACTGTAGCACGACAACACAGAATTATAAGAGATTGATCTTGATTAGACCGTGTTATCAAAAAATACTTAAAAATAAAAAGTCAAGTAAAATACCTTAATTTATACCTAATGTATTTACCTTATACCCATTGCCGATCCTGTATCTTGATAGAAATAAAAGTGACTAATGTCTTACACTATAGTAATAGGCATGACGATGATGCCTATTTTCCAAGACACGCGTACATATTTTGTAGGTCAAGAAAGAAATAAATTCTATTTTGAAAGTAAAGGGGGAAATATTCTCTGATTGTACACACAGATGTCACAGACGATCGACAAATGAACCAATGTCGATATGTTTTGAAGATTTTGTTCATTGAACCAGTACTATCCTACAGTTACAAACTATTCTTCATTGCTATCCATAAAATATAGAAGGGAAAAGAGTTTAGTAATCTTCAACTTTCAGTTTTGAGATCTCGTCATGTATGTGTTTTATCTAATTTCATATTCATTTATTTTGTTTGATTTATTTTTTGATTGCGCAAGGTATTGTTAATTTTGATTTATAATATTTACGATTTTTATGATCACCGAAATGATACTCGTAATAAAATTGATTACAAGTGTTTTAATTATATACCAAAGTATTGATTTCAACAAACTCACTACAAATTTTCCAAAAATAAAAAATCTTTACATATAGTCAATTCAACTTGAACAAATGTTCAAGTTATCGTTCTTGTAAATCTAAATACGCACCAGCTGATCAATATGGCTGGTAAAATAGTTAGGTGATTCCACAAAAGATTTGGACGAAAAGTGCTAATTCAACAAGTTTTTAGGCAGCTAATTAATGTTTATTCAATGAGGAGAAGCAAAAGGAGATTGAAAGGGAGAATAACGTGTGCGGTAGGTGTAATATTAGATATCATGAATCTGTACTGAAACATGTACATTACTCATTTTCATCAAACTGACTCAATATTCGTTGAAAACTCTTTGTGAAAAAGAAGAAGAAAAGATTAAAAAAAATGGGTCAAAAGCCGACATATAAAGCAGAGAAAATAACTAAAAAGACAAGTGAAATTCAACCAGATCTTTAAGCTCATTTGTGACATGATTCATTTTCTTTCTTTTTCTCCTTGTTTGAGTTCAGCAAAGCATCCATCCGATTATTGCTGAAATGAGCATCATTACAATCTAGCATATGATTGTGTACATTACTTATTGTTTTGTAAGTATATTACTATTTATGCAATGTTAATGGAAACTATACTTCATCACAAGTATTCCAACTAAGATTGATATTTATTAATTACCAAATTTAACATTTGCTGCATTCAATTTTAAAATAGGTAATTAGTAATATGGGAAAGGAAATTAAGAATGAGAGACGGAGACAATGTGAAAAGAATATATCGTCAGGGTTTAAGGAGAATACTAAAATTAAATATATATGATTTGGCAAATTAGAGTTGAAGGAATTAATTCTGAAAAGAAAAATAGATGAGAGAAACGAAAGTTCAGAGAAAATTGCGGTGGGGATTAACGCTGGGTTTAGAACTGTGACTACTTCAACGTTATTTGAAATTGGAATCAGTTGTAGACATGGGCGAACCCATGTTCATTAGAGTGATGTCATAATTAAAAACAAAATTTATTGATTATATAACTTTTTAGAGTTTTATATATTTATTAATATCCATTGATTTTTTTACAATTTTATAAGAACTGGGGTCAAAAAGGTAGATTTTATTGAAAAATTTATATATTAATAATATTTAAATATTTATTAAAAATATTATGTTTTAGAATTTTATATATTAATAATATTATGAACTCATTCATTTTTCTTTTACAATTTTGTAGGAAGAGGAGTCAAAAGGTAGATTTTACTAAAAAATTTATATATTAATAATATTTAAATATTCTTTCAAAAATAATAATATATAAATATTATCAAAAAGTAAATTTATCAAAAATATAATTTATATATTAATATTTAAATACTACCGGGAAAGATAAAAAAATTTCTTTCTATAATTTAAAATTTTATTAAAAAAAATCAAAACCTAAACTACTCTCCCTCTTCAAAAATTAAAGTCCTAGTTTTAAGACTTGTAATGACTTTCCTTTTTTTGATCTTTGATTGTGTTTTTCATTCTCTCAAAACAACTCAATTAGGTTTCAATTGTAAATAATTTTTAATTCAATTGCATTGGGACAAGGAATTTGTTAAAGTTAATGGAATTGATGATCTTGCAAGGAAGATGGTTGAGACAAATAGAAATATTGTGTATTCTCTGATTTAGTTGTTGGTAAAACTTACATTGATTGCACTTGAGCATTTGGTTTATTGGTTGGTGCATGATCTTTTGCCAAAAGAGTAGGGTTTAAATCTCCCTTCCCTCAATTACAAAAAAAAAAAAAAACTGACATTGATCTTATGAATTGATTTTACCAGTGGCAACAGCGTCATGACAATTATATATGGATAACTTTTATGAAATTTATAAAGCATAGGCTACAAAAATTATGAATGAAATTTATAAAGCACAGGCTACGCAAAAATATGAAAAATTATTGTAGACAATTACATATAGATAGCTTTTTCAGTAATAAAATTTATAAAGTACAGGCTATACAATTGAATAAGTAACGATTTATAAAGCATAAGTTATTCAATCGAATGAGTAACGAGTTGATGAATGATTGCTAAATCGAATGAGTGACGAGTGGATGTATAAGCTACGCAATTGAATAAGTAACGAGTGGATGAATGATTAGTAAATTGAATGAGTGACAAATGGATGAATAATTACTAAGTGACATATGACTTGAAAAATTGTCGTAGACAATTATATATAGATAGCTTTTTTAGCAATGAAATTTATAAAGCATAGATTACACAATTGAATGAGTAACAAGTGAATGACTGATTGCTAAATTGAATGAGTGATAAGTGGAAAATATAGGTTACGCAAAAATATGAAATTTATAAAGGATAGGCTATGCAATCGACTGAGTAATAATTTATAAAGCATAAGTTACGCAATCGAATGAGTAACGAGTGAATGAATGATTACTAAATTGAATGAGTGACGAATGGATGAATGATTGCTAGGTGATCTATGACATATATTGACAAAGATATATTTGATAGTGTTTCTACTGATGCGATCATGCAACGCTTTTAAAATAAAAAAAATTATTGTAGATAATTATATATTTTTAGATATTTTTACTTTAAAGGATTAAATGAATGTATTGAATTTATATTTTTTAATTTAATATTAAAACTTTTAATTTATGAATTTTAATATATTTATTTTTTTAATTATTATTTTAATTATGACACTATTCAAAAAAAATTTTGAAGTCATGATTGTAGACTTACTTGCTAGGTTTTTTCCAAAAAGGTAACAGAAAGTCTTGGCAAGGCAAGGAAAGGGTAGATGTGTTTTGCAAAATTAAAGAGACAGGAAAGTCCAAGGAAAGTGCTATAAAGTGAAACATGGGCCGAAGAAAATCCAAAATTGGGTTGCCATGTAACTCTGCCCACCATTTTGGACCGACCGATTAATGCAAAACGAGGTAGGTGCATTTGTTGCGTGCTAAGATTAGGATTAGCACTATGGTTGGTGAGCATTCAAAATAAGAATATGACACCAAAGTCATTGCTGCCATCGACCCTATAAGTAGCTGTTCATTGAAGGCATACTACACCGCTGCCTACTCGTATAGCAGTACTCTTCCAAGCTCTAATCACTTCCGAATACAACACCTCTCTCTTCAACTCAAATTACTCAAACCAAATGGCTCCCACACTCGCAGAACCCTTCAACGATTCCTCAGCTCTTACTGATTTCGTTATTAACAAAGGTAATGGAGTGAAGGGCCTGTCCGAAATGGGTCTTACAGCCCTCCCTAAGCAATATATCCAACCTTTGGAAGAAAGGATGTGCATGACCAACATCAATATTCCCCAAGAATCCATTCCCATTATTGATATGTCAAACTGGGAAGACCCCGAAGTGGCCAAATCAATTTGTGATGCTGCCTCGGAATGGGGCTTCTTCCAGATTGTTAACCATGCTGTGCCTGTTGAAGTGCTAGAGAATGTTAAAGACGCGACGTATAGGTTCTTTAGCCTACCGGCTGAGGAAAAAAATAAGTATTCTAAGAAGCATTCCTCTTCAAACAATGTGCGATTTGGCACAAGTTTTAGCCCTCAAGCGGAGAAGGCTCTTGAGTGGAAAGATTACCTTAGCCTCTTTTATGTCTCAGAAGAAGAGGCTTCTGCCTTGTGGCCTCCTGTCTGCAGGTATAACAAAGAGTCCAATTACTTGTTAGATTTCATTGCATATATACATAAATCATCCCGGCGACGTGAGCAATTGTTAACAAATATATATATATATATATATATATATATATTAATGGATCCTTTTGTTCTTTTTTTTCAGGGAGCAAGTGCTAGATTACATGAAGAAGTCCGAAGTTGTTATTAAACAGCTGCTAGATGTGCTAATGAAGGGTTTAAATGTGAATGAAATTGATGAAACAAAAAAATCATTGTTGATGGGTTCAGTGAGGACTAATCTTAACTACTATCCCAAATGTCCTAACCCTGAATTTACGGTTGGAGTAGGACGTCACTCTGATGTCTCGACTCTTACAATTCTTCTTCAAGATGAGATTGGGGGACTTTTTGTAAGAGGAAATCAGGGTGATGACTGGATTCATGTTCCTCCAATTAAGGGTTCCCTAGTGATCAATGTTGGAGATGCATTGCAGATAATGAGCAACGGCCGATATAGGAGTGTTGAACATCGTGTGGTTGCCAATGGAAGTAAGAACAGAATTTCCGTCCCCATTTTTGTCAATCCAAGACCTGGTGATGTGATCGGACCTTTGCCTGAATTGACCGCAAGCGGTGAGAAATCAATTTACAAGCAAGTTCTTTATTCAGATTACGTCAAACATTTCTTCCAGAAGGCACACGACGGGAAGAAAACAGTTGCATTTGCTGAAATATAATCATATGTTTTTTCCCTTCATCCATTGTAAGTTTGTTAATTTGCTGAAGAAAATGGCTGATAAGAATAAACTGTAAGCATAAAGGGAATATAACAATATGCTTCAGTATATTATAAACTAGCCATTTTGTGCAAAAGATGTAATTTTGTACAAGACCCAATATAGACTTCTTTCATTAATGTTCTCTTTCTATTTCTCCTAGCCAGTGATTTTCAAATACATACAAAACAACAATGATGAAAATCGCTAAAAAATAATTTCATTTAAGAGCTTATGATACACTAACTCAGGATAGCATGTTACATAATTTTGAATATAAAGCCATTAATTTATAAGTACAAATATAGTATGTTCAAAATGTGTAATAAAAAGCAGATATAACACCAAGGAGAACAAAGTTGGAATTTCCTGGCTTTTGGCTTGTTCAAACGTATATGAAAAGGTTTTACCAGAAACAAGAAAACTTTGCAACGTGACACACCCCAACAAAATTTCCCAGAGTCATGGCTCCGGAAAGCTGCACGCACAATGACATAGCTGAGTGTTGATCAAGTGAGAAAGCGACAAGACGACCAAGAAGGTAACTGTTGACTTTACTTGGGCTTAGCTCACATATTGTTAGGTTGTGTAGCAAAGCTGTGAATATCAGCTGCAGGGACGGTCAGAATTTCATATCGTTAATAACGTCAGATCGGCTATTAGTTGTCCGAATAATACGCAGGCAACATCTTTCCATCGACATACCCACAATTGTTAACTGAATTTAGTCTAACATTTAGGAATAATGTGCTTATAATTATAATCACATTACAATAAGAGAAGGAAACTTTACGCGGGTTAGCTCACATATTATTAGGTTGTGTAGCAAAGTTGTCAATATCAATTGTAGGGACGATCAGAATTTCTTGTCGCGAATAATGCCAGATCGGCTATTAGTTGTCCAGATAATGCACAGGCAACATTGTACCATCGGCGTACCAACAACTACCAATTGGATTTAGTCCACATGTAGAGGCTGTTTAGTGTGGTGTAAGTGGAAGATACTCCTTGCAATTTAAATGACTTTAATTACTTAACAGCGTTTGGTTGATAAAAAGAGAATGTAATATGCTTCCAATTGTAATCACATTACAATGAGAGAAGTAGACTTTATCGAATCGTAGCAAAACTGTCAATACCAACTATAGGGACGGTCAGAATTTCTTGTTGCTAATAGTGTCAGATCAGCTCTTAGTTGTCCAAATAATACGCAGGCAACATCGTACCATCGGCATGCCAACAACTATCAATTGAATTTAGTCAAAGCTTAGGGGGCGTTTAGCATGGTGTAAATGGAAGACATTCTCTGCAACTTAAATAGTTACAATCACTTACAACGTTTGGTTGTCATTCCCTTATCTGACAGAGGGAAAGTCTGCAAAGGAAAAATTACATATGTTTTTTTTCCCAAATTGTCCCATCTCACTCGACCCTCTTCTTCTTCTTATTACTGGGAATCCCATGGTTTCTGAACCAAAATTTCTGGATTTTAAAGGATTAATGGGGAATAAAACAGAACCAAACCAAAAAGGCTCCAAGGAACACACAAAAGCACAAAACTTCGGTAGAAGCTAAAACCAGTCAACAACAGAGAGCTCAAAGCTCGCAACACCATGAAAAAAAAAAGAGTAGGGACACAAAAAAGAACCAGAAAATGAAGGGGAAAACAGTACAGCCACAGAGAAGAAACAAGACGTGCCATGTCCTAAACAAAAGAAAAGTAACTGAGCTTTTGCTGAAATGGAAAAAGAAGCTCCGCAAGTTAGTGACTCAGTGAAAGGAGGAACAAGAGAAAAAAAGATGAAAAGAACTTGCCTGTCGTTCAATCCAATGATGGGTGCAATGAGGAAGGAGAGAGAAAAAAAGGAAAAGAAAGAAAAAGAAAACTAAAAAAATGCAAGCGGAGTTCTGTGTAATAAAAAAAAAACTTTATTTGTTGAATAAACTAAAAAATATTAAATGTATAGTTGATGATTTATATATATAAATTTTTAAATAAAGAGTATAGGAATTACTTAAAAATGTGTAATTAATATTAATTGATTAATTATTTTAAATTAATTTATTAATTAATATGGATTAATTTACTTTTTAAAAATTAATTAATTTATAAAAAATAAATATTTTGTAATTTCACATTTTAATATATAAATAATTAATATTTAAATATTATTACTTTTGTCATGCTATTAATTTATTATTTTAGGTGATAAAGTGAAAGGTTAAAAATTTACATTAAAAAGAATGTAAGTTAATTCAATTTTATATTTTCATATAATTTTGTAATTTTATAAACTTTAGTTATTTCACATATTTTTATATTATTTTTGTTATACTTTATTTATTATTTTAAAAAATAAATTGAAAAGTTAAAAATTTATATTAAAAAGAATACAAATTCATTCAATTTTATATTTTCATATATAAGGTTAATTTTGTAAATTTTAACTACAATCCAGTAAAGTATTTTCAAACTAAACACTTCAATGTAATCTTTTTAATAATCATATTTTTTACAATCGTTACTTTTCTATTTTATATAAAACGCTGCAAAGTTATCATCCAACAATCATATTTTCAACTATCATATGCTTATCAATTACAGTCTCTACAAGATATCAAAGGTCATTTTAGTATCCAATCAGTCGCCCATTTTTAAATGATTAGGTAAAGGGAAGAAATACTGAAGAAAAATAAGGAGAATGAAAAAAAAGAAGAAGATAAAAGCAAATAGGCAAAATGAAGGAAAAAAAGAATAAAATAAATAATAGTTTATTAAAATTTGTATTAATGAATTTTATTATTTTTAGTAGAATAATAAAATAGAACTCCTTGTGTCCCTTGTTCTTTCTCTTTATTTGATTTTCACAAAAATGAAAATAAAAATTTTAATTTTGATGAATTTTATATTAAAATTTAAAAAGAAATTTATAATATAGATGTATAATATTTTTTAATATCAAAAAATAAAAAAATAACTATCTATATATTTTATTCATATTATTCACTATATATATATATTTTCTACATAAGAGTAGAAAAACCCACTAAAAAGTACAAGCGTTAGGTCTAACAACCCCTTTTTGTATCAAGTGGAGGCTCATCAAACCTAAAATAAATAAAAAAAATGTGATTCCTATGAAAATTGCTTCAACAAAAATATGCTTTAGACGCCATTGCCACTCCTGTGCATCTAAGGATCCGCCGACAAATAGTGACAACAACTATTTAATCGTGCCCACCCTATTCATTTTGTGAACCAAATATGATAAGAAAAAAACTTTTTTTATATAAAAAATATTTACACCTAATACATAAAAATTACTAAATTATTTACAAAAATTCATATTAGTCTTATTTTTTTAGTACATTCAATAATTTTTTTTTATTTTTATTTTACGTCAAATAAATTTTTATAATTAACAGTTAATTAATTATCGTTAGTCAAATTGTTATTTATTATTTTATGTTGACGTGACATATTAACATATCATAATAGGTAATAACGTGATATGATAACATGATTATGTGTATTTTCATTTTACACATCAACATCTTGTAGATATAAAATAATAAATGACGTTTTGATTAATAATAATTAATTAACTGTTAATTATAAAAACTTATTTGATTTAAAATAAAATTATAAGGGTTTAATTGAAAACCATAAAAAAATAAAAATTTATTTAAATTTTATTGAATAGATTTGTTAAATCATTATATAAATATATTTATATCTTTCTATAATGGCAAGTTACTAAATCATCAACTGTTTCAAGGACGAAAAAGAAACAGGATCACAGGTTACTAGGTGGGATAAAGTTATTAAGAGGGAAGAAATTAAGAGGAAAGATTGTGCAATGTTCAGCATATAATAATATAGTAATACGTTGGTAAAGATCAAAATTCTAGGGGTAGAGTGGAAGTCATTTTCTGTTTTGAACGGTCAAGCTTAACACACAAAATGTACCATCAACAAAGCACTCATTTGGGATTCATTGGGCGCACACGGATTTGTTAAAAATTCAATGAATGGTTGACGAAACAGGCACATCTTGAAGATATTGTTCATTAACAATACACTATTCTCGGCTGAGATCCATTCAACGTATGTGGAATAGCCTAATTTGATCAGCAACACGTTCTTCACGGTAATCATGTGTTTTTATGATTTTTATGGAATTGACTTGAGAGTCAGTTACAAGTAATTTGTTTATAATTCTTTGCGACATATATATATTATATCTTCACAAACTGAGAAAAGAAAATAGTCGTTAAAAGCAATTCAAGGAAAAAGATAAAAAGAAATGACCAGGTGAACTTTAATTCAGTGTTTGCATTTTATTATCTACTGACCAGGTGAACTTTTCTTTCTCTGTCGCTTTCTTCGAGTTATCCAAAACATATCAAATATAGGTTTAGATTCTTGATTGAGTGACAAAGAGAATGAGAAAGAGAGAAATTTCAGTAAGGCCTCGTTATGATTAAAAGGAAACTTGATCAAAAGTTGGGACAAAAATTAAAAGATATGATTTGACAAATTACACTTTTGAAGGGATTTCACTGGTCTAAGGAGAAAAATATGAAACAAGTAGAAGGACAAATTAAATACGTGAGGTTTGAACAAGTTGATGATGAGGAGTGAGATGGGCTGCGAACTTTGTCAAGAAAGGGGAAATGTCTGCAGAATTGAAGAGGCAGGAAAGTATTAGGAAACTTAATGAAGATAATCAGAAATAGAATAGCCATGCATGCAATTCTGCCTGCCATTTTGGACTCCAAAATTTCAAGTAATGAAGCCCGAAAAGAGGTATGTAAATTGCCTGCTAGGATTGGTTGGGTTGGTGAGGTAAACATTTGATATACACAGCATAATACAAAACAAATTAGTCATTGGTGGTGTGCTTAGACAAAGGGTTTATAAATAGCAGTACATTCAAAGCAAGCTGCACCATTGCCTTCTCTCCTAACAATCTTAATTGGAAGCTTTATTCACTTCCAAAACACCTCGCTCTTAACTCAAATTACTCAAACCAAATGGCTCCCACACTCGCAGAACCCTTCAATGATTCCTCAGCTCTCACAGATTTCGTTATTAACCAAGGTAATGGAGTGAAAGGCTTGTCTGAATTGGGACTCA